ATATGTGTGTACTCCTGTTTTCTCCAACAGACCAAAACATTCAACACTCAATTTGAGTTTAAAGACATTTTAGTTGTGAAATACAATGTTAAGTAACGTTTATGTTTGGAATGTAATTATAATCAGTTCAATAATATACTGAGTTGATTTTTTTTGTCTTGAGGATTTCTACGTTTTTATTCTAAGGTTGAGCGTAAATGAGCTTTGACTTCTTGTTTTTCATTTATTATTTAACCAGGCAAATCCCATTGAGATCACAGATCTGTTTAGCAGGGGACGCCTGGGCCTGCAGGCAGCCTAACATGCATGATTTTGGTCTGAGGAGGTAAAGATAACAGCTGACTCAACATAATTGGAAGTAAAACCATAAATTTGACCTTCGACCTCTGACTTTCACCCGTCAGACTCAGCCGGAACAGGAGCGGCAGCTTTCCTTCCTGTCAAACACTCAACACAAAGACGATTAGTTTATAGAGATTTTATTAAAAACTGTTGCCTGACAGTTTAGAAAGTTAATGTACAATCAAAAAGAAATGCTTCCGACCTTTTTTTGTTTGTTTGTTTTGTTCTAACGGACTGCAGCAAATGATCTTTATTAGAGACAACAGCAGAGAACAAATATGATTTATTCATAAAAACATGATACGGTTTCTAAATCAACACATTTGTTGCTACAAAATGTTGCTGACTCATCAAATTTGTCTTTAAAAAAATGATAAATTGTTGCTTTTGTCTTAAACCGTAAAAGGCACAATGTCTCTAAAAGAAAACTGTCCGCTGAGCTTTTTTATTTTTTTTAAAAAGACATATAGTTCACGTTTTCTTTCCACAGTGTTTACTTCTTCAAAAAAAAAAAAAAATTAATGATTTGGATACTTTTTCTAACAACTCTGACTGAAAATAAGTGGCAACCTGCGCTTTTCTAACAATAAATCTTTATATTTTATAAATATTAGCTCTTGGCTTTAAAAAAAAAAAAAAAAAAAAGTCAACTTTCCTCTTGTGTTCATTACAACCTGTTGATTATTTCTGGTTTGCATAAAAAGGCAAAAATATATTTTTAGCTTTGATTTATCTACAACAGGTGTGAAGTTTCCAGTTGTTTCCAGGTTACTGGTTAGTAAACTGTGATATTGAGCTGGTTGACACTCAAACGTTTAAAAGAAGCATCAGAGCAGATCATCAACGTCCTGTTCCCGTCTTAAAGCTCTGCTTTCACAGTAAAAGCCCAACAAACGCTGCAGCAGAAACCTTGTTGAACAACCTGTGGGTTTTACAGTTGAAACCACATATTTACATACAAAGTATAAAAACACATTTTTTTACTCACCTCCTCACATTAAATCAGACTAAATCAGGGCTATTCAACTGGTGGCCCGGGGGCTAAATCAGGCCACCGCTGAACTCAGTCCGGCCCACTAATGGGTTCACTTTTAAACAAAACTACCGTATTTTTCTTGATTATAAAGCGCACTTAAAATCCTTTAATTTCACTTAATGCGCCTTATAGTCCAAAAAATACGGTAGATTTTAAACCGTCAAACAGACTTACGGTACCTAATGACAATAACTGCTGGATGTCCGGCCCCATAGCTTTTAGCTGTGGCCCCCCTGAGCAATTTAGTTGAATTCCCCTGGACTAAACCTTTCCTGTTTTAGGTCAGTCAGGATTAAAAAAAAAAAGTATTTGTTAAACGAGATTACTTTATTTAAAGACATAAGCTTCCTTTCATTTTTAGTATTTGTCTCTATGTGTCCCTGTGATGGACTGGAGACATGTCCAGGTGTCCCCCGCCTCTTGCACAGTGACTGCTGGATATTGGCACCAGTGACCCCCGCGACCCCCCAAACAAAGAAGCGTGTAAAGATGATGGATGGACTTGTGCTGAACGTTTCTGGTTTCCTTCAACAGGTTTCTAACAACAGTTTGCTGAAAGTTTGTCCCGTTCGGCCTGATAGAACCGAGTCATTTTATAAAACTAAAGTCAGGGCTTTGTGATGGTCACTCTAAATCACTGACCTTGTTGTCCTTAATCTTTGTCACTAATCTGGCAGTAAACTGGGGGGGGTCGTGGTCCGTTTGAAGACACATTTGCGCCCAGGCTTTAACTTCTTGTCTAAGTTGTTGCTTCATTTCCACATCATGCTCTATTCGTGATGTCATCCACTTTGTGACGTACACCTGTCACCCCGCAGCAAAACAGCCCCACAGCATGATGCTGCCACCGCCGTGCTTCACAGTTCGGCTGGTACAAGTAACGACGACCATTACGACCAAACTGTTCTACTTCAGTTTCATCCGACCACAGGACGCCTCCAGACGTTTAAGTCTTTAACTCGGTGTGCATTTAGAAACTGTAATCTGTTTTTTGTGTGTGTTGCTTTTCAAATAATGGCTTCGTCCTCGTTGAGTGGTCTGTCCAGGACTCGTTTAACCCTGGATAAAAACCCAGGTCTTCTGCTTTTCCCTTTACCTTCATGAACCAGAGTTACGATGGTTGACAAATCTCTTCCTGATATCTCGGCTGATTACTTCTGATTTTCCCATGATGCCACTCAAAGGCGCAGTATGTTTGAGGCGTGCCTTTAAACGCATCGACAAGTGCGCCTCTAATCCCCTCATATATGTCAACTAACCTTCCAAAGCCATGACATCGTCTGGGGTTTCCCAAACAAAGACGGTGGTCTTTGAGTTTGTACATTTTTGACTTGGAAGAAAGTTAGGAGCTGCTCTAAAACAGGAAAGTATTTGTCTGATTTATTTTCAGCCAAAATAAAAATGTCTTTCTATCCAGTGTATGTAAACATCTGGTTTCAACTACTTTTAACTGCTTTCACATGAAAACATATTTTAGAACCGTTCCCAGACTTCAAAAACCTCCGAAGATCTCCGAGGGCTTCAAACCTGCTCAGCCATTTGGTCGTACTCACACTCACACACACACACACACACACACATGCACGCACGCTTCTGGACTTGACCTTTGACCCACAGCAGCGACTTGCTTAGCTCTGACCTCAGTCCGTATCAGTGATGTCAGAAGCTTCTGTTGGCTTGAAAATGTCTTTTAGGGCAAAGACAGGTTTTAATAATCCGTCCACCTGGATCCTTCCTGAGCTGGTGACCTCCGACCCCCAGTCGATGGTCGAGCTGTGAACCGAACACGTCGTCACTGTTCAAGAATCATCGCCTCTTGGAATGCTTCGATCCATCTAAAGAGGGAAACAAAAACAACATTAGTTGCTGCTGAAAAAGGAAACATAAACTCTTTACCTGTTTTATATCTTTATTATTTCTTTGAATGGGATCTTTTCTGTAAAAGTCGTTCAGAGGAAACAAACAGTTCCATGTTTAATATCTAACAAAAACGTTACGTTTAGCTGTTTTTGGTCAGTTTCTGTTGGCTGTTGTTCCTTTTTCCTTAATTTATGAATGAGGAAATAAGCTTGAGTCAAAAAACAGTTAAAGGCTCTTTTTTCAGCTGTTTTCCATTTGTTTTGTGCTCCTTTCAGATTCTTTCTGCTAACTAAAACTTTTGTGTGCTTCTTCCAACTTCTTTCTGCTAGTTTCAGCTTTTTTTGCTGTTTCGGCTACTACTTAGCTGTTTTTATACCAATTTAGCTTTTTCAGATAATTCCACAGTTTTTGCACTCATTTAATCTTTTTTCTGCCTAATTCAGTGAAAATGTGCAGTCTTCATTTCCTTCTAGTAATTTAAGCTTCTTCCTGCTTTTTATGCTACCTTTCAGCTGTTTTTTTGCTAATTTCAGTTTTTATCAGATAATTTCCACTTCCTTGTGCTTCTTTAAGCCTAATTGAACAAACACGTTTTTTCTGCTTTCTTCTGCTAATTTAAGCTTGTTCTACATTTCCAGCCAATCTTTTAGCATTTTTTTAAGCTAATTTCAGCTGTTTTCAGATAAATTCAAGTTTTTTGTGGTAACTTCTGATACTTTCAGGTTAATTAACTTCTTTCTGCTAATTATGCTCCTTTCAGCTCTTTATCTGCTAGTTTAAGCTGCTTCTGCTATTTCAGCTACTATTTAGCTGTTTTATGCTAATTTTAGATTTCTCAGCTAATTTCACTTTGTTTTAGCTAATTTCAGCTCTTTCTGCTTCCTTCTGGTAGTTTAAGCTTCTTTCTGCCTTTTCAGCTACTTTTCATCTATTTTATTGCTAAATTCAGCATTTTTAAAGCTAATTTCCTTATTTTTGTGCTCATTTCTGCTTATTTAAACCTAATTCAGGAAATATGTGTTCTTTCTGCTTATTTAGGCTTATTCTTCCATTTCAGCATGTTTATTTTAGCTAATTTCAGCTGTTTTTCAGCAAGTTCTTCTGCAATAAGCAGGAAATGCAATTTCTCTAACGAGGACTAAAGCTCTGAAAACACGTCAACTCTAACACTTGATTAACTGTGTAAATGAGGCGTTTGTGTTTGTAGGAGAAAAAAAGCATCACTTCTCCAGCTAAAAATGGAACTCCCCTCCTCACCTTTCCTGACTTCTATCTCCACTTGAAAGCCAAATCTTGCTACTTTTATTTGCTTTGCTAACAACAGCAAAGTCTGTTTAGCTCAAGCAGCATAAAAAAACTTCCAGCTATGATGTTTTGAACTCAGATTTATAACAACAACCCTGTCATGACCAGTCCGGTACCTCTGTGCGGTGGGGATGTCGTCGGCCTTGAAGATGTAAAACAGCGTGTTTTTGTGGTACAGCTTGAACTGCAGCTTCTGGGCCGGCCCGTTCTTCTCCTCCCTCAGGAAGAACCCGAGCAGCGGCTGGCTCTCCAGCGCTGCGACGTCCTGCTCGGAGAGACAAAGCGACGCGTTCAGAGGGAGCAGCGCAGCGCGGCGTTCCTCGTCAGAGAGCCGAGTGTGAGTACCTCGCTGGCGGCGTACGTGTACAGCACTTTGTTCTTTATGACGAACCACAGCCTCTTCCACTGCTTCTTGTTGCCCTTCGACCTGCACAGGTAGCCGCTCATGGAGGAGTTCTCCGTGTTGGCGGACACCTGGATGAACGACAGCAGAAGAAATGGAACCTCACCGAAGGGTTTAGCATTAACACGCTGAGCTCTTGAGTAATCTGCACCTCCTTCAGAGCAGCGGGAATCTTCTTTTGTTTCCTCGTGAAGGAGAACGCTCCGGATTTGATCGGAGATGTGGACGTGGAGGCGCAGCGGTCGCCTAAAACATAACAAAACTTTATTTAAAAAAAAACACACAGTTTTATCAAAGGTGGAGACTTTATAAAAAAAATTAAAAAAAGATCCAGTCGGAGTTCATCAGGGATGATATTGTCAACAAAAGCTTTACTCCAATCAATCTCCAGACCAACAATTTGATATTTCTTTATTTCGAAGCTGTTAATGAATGTTTTATGTTAAAATCTGGAAGGTGAGCTGATATAAACTGTGAACATGCTTTTGTTAGGTTTTTGAAGATTCTAATAATTATTGTGTGAATGTTTTATGAAGCATTCACACTATTGTGATCCATTTTTCTTCCATCAGCATCTTTCTCGTTCCACAATTTTTGTGCCATTTCAACAAATCATACATCAAAACGTTCAGCTCGTTCAGAAGGGTGCTTCACTTTTGGTATTGGTGCAACTTTAGCTTTTTGAAATATTTTGCCTTTTCTGACATTTTTTCCCCTCATATTAAATGAATTGAGCTCATTTTACATCCTTCAAATCTCTAGATGTGTTCACAACCTTTTACTGCTCCTTTCACATTTTGTTCTGCTTCAGCTTCTTTCAGCTGCCTTGTGCACATTTAAACTTTTTTCAGCTACTTTCAGCTGTTTTGTGAACCTTTTAGATTATTTTTGCTAACTACAACATGTTTTGCTTCTTCTAACTTATTTCTGCTAATGTGAGCGTGTTATGCTCCTTTCAGCATATTTCTGCAAGTTTCAGCATTTTCTACTATTTTACCTACTCTTTAGCTGTTTTATACTAATTTTAGCCTTTTCAGCTAATTCCACATTTGTTGCACTAATTTCAACCTTTTTTCAGCACAGTTCAGCAAAAATGTGCTCTCTCCATTTCCTTCTGGCAATTTATTATTTGTTGTGCTTTTTAGCTGCTACTTTTCAGCTGTTTTTTTTTTAAACTAATTTCAGCTTTTTTCAGATGATTTCCACTTCTTTGTGCTCATTTCTGCTTCTTTAAGCTTAAATGGGCAAACATGTTCTTTCTGCTTTCTTCTGATAATTTAAGCTTGTTCTAGCTTTTCAGCTACCTTGCTAACATTTTAGCTAATTTCAGCTGTTTTCAGATAAATTCAAGTTTTTCGTGGTAACTTTTGCTACTTTGCGCTTCTGCTAATTTTAGGTTGTTATGCTCCGTTCAGCTTTTTTCTGCTAGTTTGAGTTTTTTCTGCTATCTCAGATAAAATTTAGCTGTTTATGCTAATTTTAGCTTTTTTAGCTAAATCCACATTTTTTTAAGCTCATTTCAGCTTTTTCCACTTCCTTCTGGTAGTTTAAGCTTCTTTCTACCTTTTCAGCTACTTCTCAGCTATTTATTTAGCTAATTTCAGATTTTTTTTAACTACATTCTATTTTTTTTTGCTCATTTCTGCTTATTTAAACCAAATTCAGCAAATATGTGTTCTTCCTGCTTTCTTCTGCTAATTGAGGCTTGTTCTTCATTTTCAGCTGTATTTCAGCACGTTTTTAACAAGTAACAACTTGTTAGAGTTTTGGACACCAATGTAGGCTTGTATTGCAGAAGTAGTTGCTCTTTATGGGTGGAATCATTTAGTTTTCAAACGAGAGCTCCAACTTGTTGCAGACGACGGGAACAACTCACTGTTCTCCTGCAGCTTGATGAAGCAGTGGTCACACACGCGAGCCGGCTGGTTCTTCAAGTACTCCAGGTAGTACTTATTGGCCGAGCAGGCCTGGCACACCACCTGCACGAAGGGACACGTTACTGCGATGAGAACGGGGTTATCTGGACCTCGTGCAGAGGGCGCGGCGACGGCTCAGACCTTCCCACAGGCGCGGCAGTGATGCCTCCTCCACGTCAGCGTGAACTCGCAGGTACAGATCATACACATGGTGGCCCTCAGGTCTGGGATCCAGATGGGAGCTTTGGAACCTAAAGGAGCCCCGCTGTCAACAACTCCCTCCGCCTGAGCGAACGAACACACAGCGGCGTCAAAATCGATCTATAACACACACGCAGGTTTACAGCCGTACCTCTTCCTGACTTCGACTGGATATAAAGGTGATTTTCTTCTTGGTGTAATCCTCGATGGCCCTGCCGATGGCCTCCAACCACTCGTCTCGCTCTTTAGCTGAGCTGCAAGCACAAAGCCCACATGAGAAGTCACGGCGGTGGCGAACCTTTGAAACCAAACTGATCACCAAGCTCTGACCTGGCAGAGAGGATGAAGGAGCGTTCGACGCTTTCAATGTTCAGCTCGTTCTGATAGGCCTCCTGACTCGGCTTGCTCACCTGGAAAACAAACAAAACATCAGCTAAAGGCGTCAGTCCTCTATAAAGCTACTGTACACTGATAAGAAACTGAAAGAAAAGTTATGTTTCTAACCTTCATTCCAGCCAGAGAGAGGACACTGTTGAGTTTATACTGGCCGGACTGGACTGGAGTGGTGTACATGAGAGCATCATTAAACTGGGCAAAGAAGCAGAAAGAAAAAGTTTTAGTAAACACATTTAAAATATATGTTATTAGTAAACCCTTTCAAGTTGTCTTTTTGTGGCTTCAGATTGTTCCTCCCAGCTACAAACAAACATTTCTCTGCAGCAACAAGTTAGATTTTAGAGGCGATATTTTTTTCTAAATAAAATACTTAAATGCACTATTTTATGCAACCAAACCCTTTTATTTTGACGGGCTAATCTTAACAGTGCTTACCGTATTTTCTGGCGCATAAGCCAGTTTTTGCATAGAGTTGTCAGTCCTGCGACTTATACGCCGAAGCGACTTATATACTTTTTCCATATTCATAACGCAAGTTTTGACTGATGCTTTAAATTTCAAAGAACTGCAAGAGCGAGTCCTCCCGTGCCTGATCATTTCACTCAGCTGGTGCAGGTGGAGGAACGATGGAGAGCTCGCGGCTCCGGCCGTGATGGATGGATGGCACCGCCCAGGCAAAAGGAAGCAGGCGAAATTAAGTTGTTTTGACCATTAAATAAACGCATAACAAATATGACTTATATGCCGAAGCGATTAAAAACGTATTTTCCACTTTATAAGTCGCACTTTTTTTGCACAATTTACATGCCCTGCAACTTATAGACTGAAGCAACATATTTATGGATTGTTTCCATATTTATAAACCAATTTTTGGCTGAGATATGGCTGTTTTCATTCATTCTGACTGAAATTCTTTAAGCAGTACCACTTTCAGCCACTTGATGGCAGCAGAATAGCAGTAACTGTATGGCATGCTGTTATATCATGTAATAGGTAAATGTGGCTATAATGACAAATTCAAAAAAGTTCAAGACAAAAACAACTGGACTTTATTTACTATACTTTATTAATTTTTTTCTTGAACTTTTTTTAGTTTACCATGTCCTGGATGACTGAGAATCTTCACCAGCTTTTAATGACACAATCAGCTTGCCGTACTCTCCCCAGCTTGGTTCTGCTTGCTGCTTGGACCAACCGTCAATCCAGCTGCACCGCCCCGGCGAAATGCAGCTAATTTGACCATTAAAGTGAATTTATTAAGCAAACGTTAGACTGAGACACACCTTTGCTATAATTTCGAGCAAACAAATAATTGTTTAGGTGCTTTTCTTGTTAAATTTCGATTAAACGATTAAACTCCTCCTTTTTTCCTCCCTGTCTGCGCGCTCTCGGGAGCACCTCAGCAGTGAAACTATTTTTAAAATGCAGCTGATTTGACCATTAAAGTTCAATTTTTAAGCAAAAGTTAGACTGAGACTCACCTTCGCTATAATTTCGAGCAAACAAACAATTATTTTTAAGTGTTAATCTTGTTAAATTCTTGTTAAAGTCCTCCCGTGCACGCTCCTGCGTCCGCCATTTGGCAGCCCATTGATTTTTGGCACACCGGCCCACATTTCCAGGATGTCAGCGATGACACATAATAGATGCGACGTATACGGCAAAGTAACTTATTTATGGATTTTTCCACTTTATTAGACAAATATGGACTGATGCGACTTATAGGGTGGTGCGACGTGTAGGGTGGAAAATACGGTATGTGTTTTTCCCTCTTCATGATGCTTTTTTGGACCGATGCAACTTAAACTCCAGAGCGCCTTATACGCCAGAAACTACGGTAATTTAAGACATGAGGAATAATAACAATACAAAACCCTCTTAATGTCTTGTTTCTGAGCACGTTTTCTGTTGTCCCCTGCTTTAATCATGTTTATGAGCGTAAACACAAACTCGTGCTCGTCTGTTCTGAAAGCCCCGTGTGTAAAAACTGAACAGAGTCTGTAGGATTTTTTGCACTTGAGAAGTTGTCGCTCACCAGAAAAAACATGCGCGGCTGCATGACCTTCCTGGACAGCTTCATCAGAGTCCCCTCCTTCAGAAACACCTGCACACAGGAACATGTTTCACCTGGTCTTGTGCTAGAAGGTACAACTGATCCAAAAGTACTTTTAGTGCACGTACCCTGCCTGGCTGAACGATCTCATGTTGGCCGTTCAGGCCGTACTGAATCTGCATCAGCTTCTGGAAGTTATCCTGAAAAACAGGATTCGACGGATCAGGATCTGCAGCTGCAACAAGAAGCCACTAAATAAAACCGTCTTACCCCTTGTTTCATAATGTCATTAGCATGGTTGGCGACTTCCTTCACTATGAAGAGCGCGGCTGCATGGAGAGAAAAACAAACGAGCATCAGAGCTTGGTTCTGTCCAGCCAAAACCTGAAGACACTGAGCACTGGTCTCCATCTGACCCTGCGTGTCTTTATAATCCTCCGAGTCTTCTGGGAGGTTCTTCAGATAATCTGTGGAAGAACACACATGTTGAAATATTTCACTTTCAACATAAAGCCCGCTGTATATATCTGCTTCTTGTCCCGAGTCGCTTCAGTCACTCCTGCCTGCGGTAAAACCAGATCATGACGACCGAGTGTCCACGTGTTTCAAAGAAACTCCGCTTTTAATTGTCTGAATGCTGAGTCAGCGTACTTTCTGCTACTTTTGCTATTCGTGAGTCAAAACGTTCGGCTTGATTAGGAACAGTGCGCGAAGATTTCCAGTATTTGTGACTTTTGAACTTTTTTAAATTCATTCAATTTGTTTGTATTTTATTTGATTTTTTTCTTTGAATTCTACTTGAGCAAACTTGATCTATGTTTGTCTTTTTAGAATATGGCTATAATCTAGATGATTCAACCTTTTAGCAAGCTTTGCTAATTACAGTTTTTAGACAAGGTTTTACAATAATTACCTTTGCTGCTGTCCCAGCCCTGCTCCACGGACAGATTCAGGAAGTCCTTTGTCCCTCAAACCATCAGACTGTTCAACTCCTCCCATACAGTAAAAATAGAGCCTTGTAAATCTGCAGTACTCCAGATACACATGTATGTATGTTTATATGTACATATGCAAGTGTATATACAAATGTATGTGTATGCTTAGATGTGTATGTATACATATATATTGGTTAATCATGAATGTAGTACTTCCTACCACCTTGTGCATGTGCATATTCTTTTTCCAAATTTGTGTACTCTGCATCTTTTTTTGACAATTTCATATGTATTGTTTTATTTATAATTAGAAAATGCTACTGAATGCCTCAAATTTTCCCCTGGGACTAATAAAGTATCTATTTATCTTTTAGCTAGAGTTTTGCTCATTTTAGTTTGTAGCTGCTGTTTAGTTTACTTTTAGCTTTTAGCTACTGCTTTGTTACTTTAGCCAGAGCTTTTAGCTATAATTTTGCTTAGCTACATTTTTGCTAATGCTTTGAGGAGCTATTTTCTTAATTTCAGCTTTGAGTTACTTTTTCCTAATTTCAGTTTGTTGAGACTTCAGTTCAGTTTCAGCAAAAATGCTCATTTTTCTAGTTCAGTTTTAGTTATTTTTTAAATTCAACCCATTTTTGTTTGTTTACTTTTTCCCTCAACATGTCTTGTTTTACTTCTCTTGACTACTAATCTTATTTTTTCCAGGATGAAATAATAAAAGTCCTTGAACCGTATTAGGACTTAAGAATTTAACATTTTTGTCATTTCTAAACTTACGGTGTTTTCACACTACATAAACAATCACATTTTCTTAAGCTTTAATCCCTTGTATATGTTTAAATATTATATTTATCTTCTGTATTATTGTATTTTAATGAAATTTAATTTTACTCAGAAGACAATCATTTTCAGAATAAAATCACAGTTTTGTTATAAAAATGTCATTTGTTTAGGACTAAAGTGCAAACTAAAAGGTGAAATTAAAGACTAAAATAAAGAAAACAGAAATATGTTTGATGTTTGTCAAAATATAATAATCTTCACCTTCAATCACATAAGAGAAAACTGCAAAGAATAATTTACTAAATGGAGAAATAAATGCCAAACGTCACAATCCAGATTGAATCTGCTGTCACGCAGACTGTCCACTTGGGGGCAGCCTAATTAAACCTGACGTCCCACCAAGTTTTTAAACCTGACGTCCCACCAAGTTTTATTCTCAGGCTGCCAATAAATCGGTGCCATGATTTAATAAACCTCTGACCCGCTGCGTGCAGATGGACAGAGCAGAGGGAGGAGGTACCTGTGAGCAGCAGCTGGTACTGAGGGATCCTCTGCACCGGTTTCAGCAGGTAGTGCTTCAGAGCCAGGCTCGCACATCGAGGACTCGTCTGAGACAAAACAAACGCACACACGTTTTCTGATGGCTGGAGAGAACGCTGCAGAACCTTATGGTGCAGTATACGCATAATACAACAAAACAAACTGAAATGAACCTCAAATTCTTTGACGACGACTGCAAACCCAGGGTTTTTCCTGCACTGCTCGTCCAACAGAGCCACGTTGTTGTCAAACTGGCGGATGTAGGTGGAGTACATCTTCAGGTAAGGACCTTTCTGGACAAATATGTCCGACAGTCTCTGGTGCTCGCTCCTGGAAACAGACGGACAACTTCCCTCAGCCAAAGCGGGCTCTAAGTTTATACAGAAATGATAACAGCGGCTCCTCTCTGATCCATCACCTCAGAATCTGGTTGTAAAGTGTCAAATTTAGACCAAGTGATGATGAGGAAATCCCATAGGCTCAGATTTTATACCTAAAGTGAATGATTCAATGACTTATGAAACGATATTCTTTCACGGTTTGCTGTGCTGAACTTTACCGGTCTTGAGCAAACAAAAAGAACAAACATACGCAGATATTTCAGAGTAGGATGGGATCTTGCAAATGTCTGACATCAGTTTTTATGACTTTGAGGCTGTTCAAGGTTCATAAACTAATAAAAGTCACAGGAGCTTGTGAGCATACCAGTGTGCCACCCTCTCCTCCAGCTCCCTCAGCAGGTCCTTGTTGAGCTGATACAGCTGAGGCAGGTAGTACAGGATCTGACTGAGGGTCCGCTCATCCACCACCGGCTTCCCGTTCTGACGGGTTGCCTTGGCAACAGCATCCCGAAAGTCCTGCAGAGACACGTGGCGTTAAACCAGAAACACATTTCCAGGGCGGGCTGGCACAAAACATAACGAACTGTGCTGCAGCTGGACAGGAACACCGGGTTATCATCTCATGAACTAACCTCACATCCCACGTGCAAGCTTTTCATGACTCAGCACTTTGACTTTACACTGAGCACACACACACGTGGAAGGAAGCAGGGGGAGCATGCAGCACACTGACTGATTCACCACGAATACGAAATATCTGCAGCCTCAAACGATTCGATTTGGACATCAAGCCCATAAAAACAGGAACTAGCGACAATATGGATAAATTAAAGTTACTACAGAAAAACTGACAGTAAATTCATTTCTAAAACTCACACGAACAATGGCGACAAACTGACCAGAAACTGTCCAGAAAAAAGGAAATATGCCAGTTGGATGCTTTTCCACAAGGAAACAGAAACCCACCTGCACACATTCAACATAATGTCACACACATACAAGTTATTATTCTAGGTGTGTGTGTGAACAGGTCATATCTGAGGAAGCGGCTGCTCTGAAGCTAGAAAAATGTGATCTGACCCACTTTTCTTGGACAGGACCCCACACCTCGCCCTCCCACTGTCAGCCACAGCTTTAACCCTGTCGTAGTTTGGACCCTTGGGCCTGACTATCTGAACACCCTCCACCACCTCACCTGTTTCTTTTCCTGTGGACACGCCCACTACAGGGAATATCCTTCAAGTAAACATGAACAAAGCCTTCCCTGTCTCCTAACCCTCAAAACAGCCCAACTGATGGAAAGGAAATGAGCTAAACTCTCGAGTGAAAACAACAACTATTATAATGTCGAAAAGAAAAGGAAGAGAAGATGTGCGGCTGCATTAACGAGAAACACGTTTGACAACATGATCAGACAAATAAATTCAAATCCATCCATCTTTCAAAAACGGTCTCTATGGCTGTCGACTAAATGCTGTTAAATAAGATGTTTGCTTCCAGATGGTAGCAGCGATCACCGGTGGCCAATGTCTTCAAGTACAAATACATGTACTGTTATGACTCTAGTTCTTAATTATACTGTAATTTTAGCAAGAAACTGATATTGACAGGTCAAAACTTTACAATTGGACTTAGAAAAAACTCAAGATTGGCACATCATAAAAAATGTAACTTTTTTTTTTTAATCTAAGTGTGTGAAATTGACAGTACTGATGAGTGACATAATAATAATAAAAACATTGTATGAGGAGCTCTGATGCTGTTTGACAGTTTGCTGATGTAGTTAGACAACCCGTCTCTGAGTGACCAAACACTGCAGTAAAAATACACTAAAATGATTAACCACACAGCTAACGAGGCCAGAATTTGTGCCGCCATCTTGGTAGGTTCTACATGGTGGCTTTATGTACAGCTAACATGGCAGCAGATTATAAATATACGAGGTAAAAACAAAACTTAGCAAAGAAACCCAGTAAAGTCCATGCTCAATAATCCAGGTATACAATCCAACAATTTTCAGTCAGGTCATCTGGACAGTTTCTTTTTTTTTTTGGTACTGAAACGTTTCACCTTCCATCCAGACGGCTTCATCAGTCAAGGAAACACACAACACAAAACGGATTCTTCCCCCAACAGCTTACTCCAAAGTGGACTGAAAATTGTTGGATTGTATACCTGGATTATTGAGCATAGACTTTGTTGGTTTTGAACCATTTTGACATGACTGTCGACGAGGGAGAGGGCCGGCACCGGAGGAAGTGGCGTGCCAAAGCCACCATCTTAGCACCAACATAACTGGTGTGTTCCACTTTGGCATAAGCGGTTGGGGGAAGAATCAGTTTTGTGTTGTGTTTCCTTGACTGATGAAGCCTTCTGGATGGAAGGTGAAACGTTTCAGCACAAAAAAAAAAAAAAAACTGCCCAGATGAACTGACTGAAAATTGTTGTAAAGAAACTCAGTGTTTTTCCATTCTAATTATAGAAACTTTAACCTCAAACACTGTAGTATTACAGCATTTTTATTGTATTTTTGTAAATACTAGTCTAATATACTATATTACAGTACCACTGGTTGATACTATCCAAACTATACTGCTATGATTACTGTAAAGCAGGGTACTGAGGGTAGGAATATAGCATGTACTGTAAATAAAAATACGTTAGCAATAATAGAATATTTAGAATATTTTCTATGTGTAAAGGCTGAAGTGCATGTTGGACAAGTCCTAAATATTTCCAGAATATACAAAAAAAAAAAAGACTACTGGTACTTTAAGTTATTAGTCTAAGAGTAAATGTTTACAGAAAGTGATAGGATAGCTCTGGTTAGATCGAGTAGAAATATCAAGTACATATGAGTACATGTACATATTTTTTTGGCTACAATGATCACACCATTTATATATTTATCACAGCAGCAGCGCATTGGGTTAGCGTTTTGTCATCGATAACACTTGATTAGGCTCAGAGGGCGACTTATTACAGGATAATCTCATCTTGTTTTCACATTATGCATGATTCATGTTTATTTAAGTGAAATAAAGCAACATTTATGTTTTTGTATGAATTGATGGTACAGCCCACAGCCCAAAGTGTTAATGCTTTCCAACGATATGCAACAATATCCTATTAATAAACATGTTAGGTAGTGTAGAACCTAGAAAGATGGCGGCCACAAACCTTGTCTACCACCATTATTAGCCATTCTGGTATATTGCTATTAAAGTTTAACTATTTAATCATGCAACGAATCAGAAGTGATCATCCTCAGCATGACTGTCCACCTCAGAAAAACAGTCCAACCCGACCATCGGATGGAGTAATGTGTTTTGGAAGAACGATGCTGCGTCTCTGAGGACATGTCCACACATTTGTGAAATTATTGCAAAAGTGCACTGAGATTCTTTTGGCGCCTGCACACCTCCACATCTTCCTTTCATCCATCGCCCGTCTCCATGCCAGTGAGCGACCTGCTGCGCAGCAGCCACTAAAGCCAAAACAAACTTTGTATTCAAACTTATCAAAGTCCAGAAAATCTTTGATTTTTTTTTTCTTCCTAGCACGTAAACAAACTCACTCCCTCTACCGTAACAGGACAGATCAAAGCTGTCCCTCCCTGGTTGTTGCAGGGCATTAACCTGCTCGTTGTTGCCACAGAGAAACCAGAAACCCCAAATGGAGCAACAGCTGCGGGATAGCAACAATACTCAACACCGTCAACACAAGCCCCGAAGAAAACAACAGCTCAGCGTCAGCAGATTGTAACATTTAGTCAGGAGAACACTTACTATGTGAAGAAGTTTCAGGACATCCACAAACCTATTAAAAAATATAATAAATCAGCAAGAATACAACTTATAATGGCACATTTTTATCAAGTCCTGCAACAACAACAAAAGTGATATTTTGCTGCTTCTGGTTGGTCACTGAAGCACTCACACTTTCTCCGAGCTCATGATTTCCTGTGCGATGTGCACCACCTTCTTCCTCTTCATCTCATCCTCCTGCTGAAAGACGAGAAACGCGAAAGGTAAGACGACACCAGGAAAGGCTCAGACCAAACAAGAGTTACTCACAGGCTCGCTGCAGACCACCATGACCCCTGAAAGGGTTTCAAACCATCAGCGTTCTGTCAAGCAGGAGCAGAGGAGCCTTTTGTCTCTTTCTGCAGGGTGTTCTCTCGCTGACTTAATTTGGACAGCGGCCTTGGCCCCTGCTCCACTGAAACGTCCTACTGGTCCTATCTGGGTCTGTATTTGTGGAGCTTTGAGGGCCATCAGACACAGGCGCTGACAGAATCGTGGAGGGGGTCACACAGGACGAAGAAAGAAAAAATAAAAAATGCGACGATATTGAGGGAGCTATTCTTGAGCCTGCAGCCTCACTGTGTTTGCTCACCATCCCCCTTTCATCACACACTTCTAACAGGCAACATACTCAGCAGCATGTGCACACACACACATACACACACACACCCTGGTACGGGTCATCCGTCGGGACACGCAAAGATTAGACTTCAGGTGTTAAAATTCACCCGTGACAATGTTTTTAACCTTTCTGTTTTTATAGTGAATAAAACACAGCGAATACAAATTTGACAACAAAACCCAAGTTTTGCTGTAATTCCTAATTTCATCTCTATTATGATATTTCAAACGGATTGACAAAAACAAAGAGTCATGTAGAACAGAAGCTCTTGGATTAATTTTTTTTTTTTTTTTACCAAATCATTTTAAAGTGTTTCGTTTTTAAATGCTTAAATATGACAAAATATGTATAAAAGATGTTTAAAACTATATGTAGCATTAGCAAAGTATGAACTTGCTATCAGTCCTTCTCAAATAGTGAGGCGCTCCCCACTGGGGGGGCCCGGGATGATGTTGGGGGGGCGCATGTTACCCTGGGGAACATGTTTTTTTTGTATTTTTCACCATCCTTATTTTGTCGCGTGCGTTCCGGCAGCTGTTTGCTCGTATCTCTCAGGCTTTCTAATAATAAACTTATGAACAAATATGACTACCTTGTCGTTTTGGGAGCCATGTTTGAACCGTGTTGCTCCCCTCTGCCGTTGAGACAATAAATAAATAACTCCCGACACCTCCCCTGCTGTTTTTCTTACGCTCTGGACGCTTGTCACCCACGTCGCACATGAAACAAAGAGTGAACTCAAAGCGAGAGCGACACCTGCCCCCTCTTTCCTCTTCCGCGTTGACAAATTTTTTTTAGCTTGATCGATGAGTTTGCTCATTGATCCTGACTTCCTCATTTTGATTAAAAAATAAAAAAGCACAAATTGTTTTATTCATTTTTGTTTTGTAGGTCAAAGTGTTTTATATAACACTCCTGAGTTAAAATGTTGCTGATCAATTTGAATTTATTAGTACTGATTTATTATATTTAATTTTATTGTTCAGTATCAAATGGTCCGAAATGTTTACAGTTTAAATAAGGATTTTTTTTTTCAGGCAAATGGATGCACTTTAAGTTGTTTCTGTTACAGACTAAAAATACTGTTAATAAAGTTATTCTTTGGTGTAAGTTGATCTATATTCTTTCTTTTTTGTTGTTTTATTTAATTTAAATAAGGATATGTGACTGACTCTGTTATACAGAGGTGTACTTATAATTTTATAGACAAATGATACTATTTATAGTCGCGGCGGAGAGTTGGGGGGGGGGGCGCAAAATGTTTACTTCTTCCTATCGGGGTACGTAACACAAAATAGTTGAGAAGCACTGCTTTAGATAAAAGCAAAGTACAGTTGTCCCTCGATAATCGCAGACGTTACGTTCTGGACCCCCGCCCTCACCCCGCAACGAGTGAAAAACCACCAAGTAGGAACACTATATTTAATTATTTTAACATATTTAATTTTAAGGCTTTATAAACTCTTCCCACATTCATGCAATGTTCTAAACTCTTAAACCTATGTAATTTTAACAACATACATATATGTAATGTACAGTACTGCAAAATTGTATATGGGTACTAACCAGTCTTGGTCTGGTTCTGGTCCAGTTCTGATTGGCTCTCTGCAACCCTTGAGCACCAGACACTTTTAGAGAGAGCCGGACCTTCGGACAGCCAGCACAAAACCACACAATGGTATAGATAGAGTCCAAATAATCCAGAGAAGTCTGGATGGAAAAAGTCCTGGTGAGCTCCAAGCGGCACCTCCCTGCTTGAAAGGCCTCATGGGTCAACAAGCAGTACTCAGATTGACCAGTGAGGCAGGAAGTCCGGTTCTGGTCCAATTCTCGGTCGGTTGCGTATGACTCTCTGCATCCACTGAGCACCAGAGTCGCTATGAATAAGGACCGAAGTTTTTTTTAGATCTGATCAAAACTTTCCCTCAATTTCAGCAGAAAGCAACGGCACTGTTGGCTTCTGGGTAATGTAGTCCTTTTGAGTGGCGCTACAGTATAGGCTTATTGAGAGAAAACTACAAAATGGCAGTGCCTGTCTGAAGTATTTTTTCGTTAACTTTTTATCCCGTGCCGTCCCAATCACATGAGTAACATTAAAGTTGACAATCGTGTGTCATGTACAATTTATTTTTTTTGTCGTGTACGAACTTACTTTGAAAAAACGGCAAATGAGAGAGTCCGCAAAAGTCGAACCACGAAGTAGGGAGGGAGTATTGTATTCCTTGAAAGAATGAACACTTCTAACTGACTTGGGTGCCAAAGTTTTAAACTCAGATCATCAAAGCTAAGAGTAATACACGTGACGGATTATTTTTGATTTGCAGTAACTCTAATTATGAGTAAACTGGTTTAAACTGGAAGGCTGGCATCATAAAGCCTGGATTTTTAGAGATGTTCTGGTTTCAGTCTTGCACGTAATGACTTTCTGAGCCCACAGTGAGTCAGTCAGTTGCTCCATCTCTTACACACCTGTCTGTCTGCCTCGTCCAGGTGCTCCTTGCTGGAAGTGGAGCTGTCGTCCTCTTCGTCTGAACTGTGCATCTCCTCCTCCTCAGAGTGGACATCCTCCTTCAGCCAGCCGCTGCTCACAAAACCACAGGGGCAGCGAAATTAACCGACTAGCTTTTCTTTACAGAAAACAAATGTTTGTGTCCATGAAATAGAAGTTGGGCGCGGCTGCAGAGAAATGTGTGTTCAGGACAAAAACAAAACTAAATGACGAAATAAAGCTCTCAGCCCAAAACGAACTTTAACTCAACTCTGTTCGATGGAGAACACGGATGATTGCACTTTGATAAATTGTTAGGAAGACAGCAAAAATACAGACATGGAGGCTGAGCGTAATGATGAACCCTCAGGAAAAGATCCGGTTCATTGGTGTATTTACAGAACAAGAAACAAGTGGACTCACACAGATAAATAAAAATGACTCCAACTACTGGAGCACAAAAACAGAACAAAGAAAAATCAAACCAAACAGTGGAGGAGGTATGACAGATGAAGTAACCAGCAGGGTTTGGTGGAGGGGAAGTGGAAAACTTTCCTGTGGCCTAAAGAAATCGGAGATCCTTCTTGGAAATCCTGGAAGTGACTGGATTCAACAGCGAACAGCTTCTGTGATAAACAGGATCAGCGTTTCTCAAAACTTGAAGATCTTTCTTTTTTTTTCTCAGAACTATGACTTCTAAGTTCTAACACTAACTCCTCGACATGCACCTGAACGTAACACACCTAAAAAAAAAACAGTGAACAAAAAAAGTGTCGGAGTAAAAACTAATCTACAGTTAATGGACAGAGTGTGAACATGGTGGCTTTTTAAAAAGAGGGAGAAAATTCAATGAAAACCTGAACGATGCATCAAACTTCACCTGATCATCTACTTTACAAGTTTTCAGCTGATAACTAATTAGGAAACGTTATCTTTGGTATTTTTTTAAAGGTTGACTGTTGTACCAAAGTTCATGTTCAATAATCCAGGTACAAATCCAACGATGTTTAGTCAGATCATCTGGACGGTTTCTTTTCTTTCTTTTTTTTTTTCTGAGACGGTTCATCCTTCATCCAAAGGACTTCTTCAGTCCGAGGAGCCACAAACAAACTGGAGTCCCACAAGTACCACACTCCTACAGTGGGAAAAAAAAAAAAAACAGTTTGCTGGTGATAAGATGGGTTTCTGGGCCCGTCAACTCCTCTGAGGCTGTCATCCCAAAATGGTTCAAAACACCAAAGTTCATGCTCAATAATCCAGGTACAAATCTAACAATGTTCAGTCAGATCATCTGGATGGTTTCTTTGTTGTTGTTTTTTTTTGGTTTTATTTTGCTGAGACGTTTCGTCCTTCATCCAAAGGATCAGCAAACTGTTTTTTTTTTCTCCATTATGGGAGTGTGGTACTTGTGGGACTCCAGTTTGTTTGTGACTCCTCGGACTGAAGAAGTCCTTTGGATGAAGGACAAAATGTCTCAGCAAAAAAGAAAGAAAGAAAAAAACCTTCCAGATGACCTGACTGAACATTGTTGGGTTGAACTTACGGCTGGACAATAATTCGATATCGATATATATTGCGATATACTTCTATTCAACATTTTAAGTGCATTTTCGATATTTCGATACGATTACAGCGTTTCACTGACGCATTTCTTTTTCCGTTCGGGTTGAAGTGGCCACTTCCGTTTCAACCCGGACAGAAAACGCTGCGACACAACTACATAAATGTGTGTTGATGTAGATGTTACGCAGAGCTCGAGCCCAGAAGGCGGTAGCGGTAGCAGGCTAGGCTAATCTCGAACGCGCGGTAAGTTTTTGCTTCAAAAATGAGCTCCCATGACCGTCAGAATGTGACTGAACAATCTTTCACAAGCGAAGAGAAAGCAGATGACATAAATGATAAGAGAGGAAAGACTAATTTGGAGGTGTAGAAGTGGTTCGGCTCTCTAAGATCTGATAAACTGCAGGTTTCAGTGCTGCAAAATGGGCCGGAGAGTCGTTCCAACCAGCGGTGGGAACACATCGAACTTGTTCCACTCGACAGAATATGCTGAGAGTCAGAAGATGAAGCACAATAAAAGTTTGATCCAACGTGTCCCTGACACAACACCCCCAGCTGCATCAAAAGAAAAACACATGCAAACACAGAAGTTTGCTGCATGTGTTGTTACGTTATGTTGTTTAAAGTTAAAACCATTAATATTGACAAAGTTGAGATTTTTATGTTTAGTTGATGATGATTAAATTTTTTTTTAAGGCTAAATACAAATAAAAGTGAACATTAATTTATTTGTACAGTTTGTACAGTTTTTCTGAGGCGTTTATATCGATATCCAATTATATCGTTATCGACCGAAATTAAGAAAAATATCGTGATAAAAGTTTTGGCCATATCGTCCAGCCCTAGTTGAACGATTCTGTTTCTGATAGTCCCATTTAAAGTTGACTCTTGAAGTTGTATTTCGTCCCAACACTGGTTCGCCCCATGAACTTAGGAGCCTTTTTATGCCTGAAATAACTTAATAGATCTTACGACTGTTTTTCTTTACAATTTATATTTTTTTGTTGGATGTAACTGGGACCCTGTGCACACAATTTTGTTCCACCACATGTACCGTTCGAATGACAATAAAACACCTTGACCTTAAACAAGCAGGCTGATAAAAATGTCTACCGGTATATAAAAACAGCATAATAAAGGTATTTTCAAGTTTTTATTTAAAAAATGACTGGATTTTGACTAAAACCGATATCAAATGATTTTTTTTGTATTTCCACATTATTACACGAGATTTATCAATAATTAAAAAATATATATATATACAACATCATGGGCTGATAAACAAAGCTTAAAAAATGTTGATCTTTAAATCTTATTTATAGGTCAGCTGTCAGACTTGATGATTTTCTTGCAGCGGAGACGTTTTAAATCTGCGTTTCTTCACTCAGTCTTTGTGGCTGCTGGCAGTGGGCCGACACCCAGACTGGAGTCTTCCCACAAACATGCTGCCGTCTGCCAGCTCAGTACAAGCAGCAACATGTGTTTGTGTCGCTGATGTTTTTGATCGATCTCTCGTGGCCGTTTCTGCAGGACGGCGCTGCCTGATTTCCAGCTCACGCTTTCGAACAGGAAGAATCAGAGCGCCCTGATTTCAGATTTGCTCCTTTCAAGAGCAAAGTGATGGAGAAAACGTAGTCTGGAAATGTTCACTTTTTCTTCTGAGCTCTCCACTTCCCTTCCTTTCACCTAACCCCCTCTCAAGCTTTTTGTCTCTTTCTCTCTCCAGCATTGTGGGTCGAGCACAGAGCGCCACTTGTTTACAGCCTGAGGCTACTTACATAAACTTAACAGGCGGCTGGGAAACACTACAGATGCACTCGCTGCTTCTGTCTCGGCTTTAACTCGGCATTCCAGGCTGAATTAAGAAGCAGAGCACATCCTGAATGTTTCAACAGCTGATTATTTAAAGGAGCACAACAACGAGGCTAATTACTTGATTAACAACTTTCACCTAAACTACAGCTGTTTACATGTGAGCATGAAGAATTAAAAAGGAAATTAGAGATTTACTGTGTCTTCCAACTATGTTGAGAAATTACAGCGTTGGAGCCATTTTGGTTCAAGGATGTCATTATTTGTCACATTTTGTCTTATAAATGCCACCAAGTCTACGTTTACAAAAACTACCAGGTCAAATAAATCATTTAGAGTAGCTGTTTATGTGCGTAATTATCATTTTAAAATTTTTGTTTGTGCTTTGAGATATTTTAATACAGTTTGTGTCTTGGGATCTGAGACAAATGTCTTTATAAGTATTTGTTTAGTTTGTTATGAAACATTATTTGGTTATTTAAATCAGGGGTTCTCAAACATTTTGGGTTCAGGGACCCCTTTCAGGGACCCCCTCATAACCCTCATGTTTATTAAATAATTTTTTTCATTTTTTTTCAATATGCAATGGAAATATGTGCGTAACATAAGACCCGTTCGTGTTAATAATTTTTATATTTTTAAACATGGGGTATTTCTCATTCAAGACACAATTAATTAACAAAAAAAATAATTTTAACTTTCAAAAACGACAGTTTTGAGAAAATTAAAAACCACGTTAAAGCTTTACCTAGTCACTTAATGAACATAATAAATATGTTGCCACTTCTTCAATTACAGAAAACACTTTACATAAAATTGAACAGAATCATAACAGCAGTAGTCATACCAAGGAGGCCTGTCGCGATAAACAATAAATCAATTAATCACATGATAAATGAAAATTATCGACCTCGTTTTCATTTATCGTCTTTATCGTTTCTTTGTGTCTCTCTCTTTCTACTGAAGACACTGGATGACAAAAAAACTCAACTCCGGTGTTCTTCACTGACCCCTCCCTTTCTCTTTTCTTTTTAAAATCTATTTTAACCGTCCAAAATCGCGTTTTTGGATCGTTAAAAGCAGTTAAGCTGAGAAGCTAAGCTACGAGCTAAGCTAACAGGCCGACCTCGGGAAAAAAAAAAACTCTGTCTTGTCGAAGCTCCAAAATTCACAGTTGAAACCCGTGCCTTTGTGTAAAAAGTTTTTCACTGCAAAAAGAAATTGAGAACTTGTTTACTGATTTTATATTAAAAGCTTTTTGTGAAAAATGCTATGCTAAAGAGCTCAAACCACACGAGCGTCCGCCATTTTGAGAACCGGAGAGTGACAGCCCATGTCACGTCAAGGGGCCTCCCTCCCATTTTTCTTAAAGAGACACGCTGCTCGCTCCCTCACTATCCATCCTTCGGTTTAAACAGTCTTTCACTGCCATCCAGTGGTCAAAAAAAGGTACCACACGCAAAACTAATTAACAAACATTTCTTCTTAAATTTGACAATAATTACTAATTATAGTGAAATTTCAAACAATATTATCGTTTATCGCAATAATTTCTGAGACAATTAATCGCCCAGTAAAATTTGTTATCGTAACAGGCCTAATACCAAGTAACAGGGCTTAATTTGTAAACTGATCAATGCCGGAACGCAGGTAGTGGGCCGGCAAAGGGATCTGAGAGTCCTCCCCCAGGAAATTTTCAATAAAGTAGATGTGATTTCCTGTATTTTGGTGTATTTCAACAGGTTGTTAAACATTTGTAAAAAATGTTTTAAAGAAATTGCGGACCCCCAAGCACTGGCTCGCGAACCTTCAGAGGCCCGGGGACCCCAGTTTGAGAACCACTGATCTTAATTATGAAATTGTTCAAAACAACTGTTTCTATTTGTACAAACACACCAAAATATTCCCACAAATATCATGGAAATACCTCGAAGCAACAGGAAGTGAATAAATGCATTTGCGAGTTTTAACACAATTTATTCCAAAAATGATTTTTCCATCAAGAGCATTTTAGATTTACTACAAACCCCAACTTGTGTTGTCTATTCCTGTTTAATTTTTGTCTTTACAGACTTCATATTCCCATTCATTATGTATTCTATTCAGGGTAAAAACAAGCCTCACAACATATTTTTTATAACAAAAAAAAAAAGGTTAAGAAGGGGTTAAAGACAGTGCGAGGGCGGTCGGAGTGAACATGAGGAGGCTGGTGGTTGCTGGAGGTATATTTTTTCCTCTTCTAGCAAGCCGTGTGGATTTTCTGCGATTCTCAGACATTTCCTGCCCTGGTCACTGAAAATAACTTACAGGAAAGCACGCCGACCCGCTGCACACCAGTGCTCTATTCAAACTCGGCGCTGCTGACTCAGATTTTATATTCTTGTAAATCCAAACTGCTGGAGTCACCTGCGCAACCTGTCGCTCACAGCTGCAGCTCAGTCACAGGACATCTGCAGCAACAAACACATGAATCACTGTCTATCTTACACGACCTCTTTGAGCTCAGAATGTGTTGGGGGTTAGTCGCAGCTACTACCACACCAAGTTTTAGGTCAATATCTGTAGAATTGATGGCATTATAGCCATTTTTGTGGATTTGTTTCAGTTCAGTTGCCCGTCTTGAATTGTATTGACTCTAAAAGTTACCGTAATTTCCGGTGTATAAGCCGCTACTTTTTTCACAGTCTTTGAACCCCGCAGCTTATACACTGGTGAGGCTAATTTATGGATTTATTTTTTGACGGGCTAACAAGCTTCCTGCTGCTAAAAACATTTAGCTTTGTCACACCCGGGTGCTTACATAGCCCAATACACGACTCTCTTAGGGGGTCGGTCCTTGTGACTCAATGAGACTACCTGTATAAATAAAGTTTTTTTAAAAATCTGACCTATGAAATTAACTAACAGGTCACAGTCAATGAAATATGGGGAGGGGAAGAGAGATCCAGGGGGTGGGGGGAACTCTCCTGCATGCACAAAGCAACTTTTGTTCCACGGAGCACACGCTTCCAGCAGGAGGAATTAGTCCTGTTGCAATAAACAATAAATCAATTAATCGCACGATAAATGAAAATTATCAACCTCATTTTCATTTATCGGCTTTATCGTTTCTTCGTGTCTCTCTCTTTCTACTGAAGACACTGGATGATAAAAGGCTCAACTTCGGTGTTCTTCACTGACCTCTTCCTTTCTCTTTAAAATCCATTTTAACGATCCAAAATGGCGTTTTTGGATCGCTAAAAGCAGCTAAGCTGAGAAGCTAAGCTACGAGCTAAGCTAACAGGCCGACCTAAGAGAAATAAAACTCCGTCTTGTTGAAGCTCCAAAAGAGAACAGTTTCACAGTTGAAACCCGTGCCTTCGTCTAAAAAGTTGTTTTTCTCTGCAAAAAGAAGCTGAGAACTTGTTTAATGATTTTTTAATTTTTTATTAAAAGCTTTGTGTGACAAATGCTATGCTAAAGAGCTCAAACCACACCCAGCATCCGCCATGTTGAGAACCGAAAAACAGGAACAAGAGACAGCCCATGTCACGTCAAGGGGCCTCCCTCCCATTTTTTCTTAAAGAGACACGCTGCTCACTTCCTCACTATCCATCCTTCGGTTCAAACAGTCTTATACTGTCATCTGGAGGTCAAAAAAGGTACCACACACAAAAATTAACCAACATTTCTTCTTAAATTTGACATTACTAATTATTGTCAAATTTCAAACATTATTATTTATCGCAATAATTTCTGAGACATTTAATTGCCCAGCCAAATTTATTATCGTAACAGGCCTAGGAGGAATATGAAGATAACGATCAATGACTTCCTGGTAGGCTACAGTATTTTTTTTTTCAACAATGAAAGAGAGACTAAGGACGTGTATGATGAAGTTTTTCTGACGCTGTTCAATTCTGACACTGAAGAAGACGACATTTGTGGTTTTAGTGCACAGGAGGAAGATGAACATAGCAATGAGCGACTTTTCCTGGTAGGCTACTGTATTTATTTATTTATTTAAACCAGCTGTGTTACACGCATTGTTCAGAAAAAAACATTTACTGTACGTATTTGTGTATGTTACCGATACTCATTTAATTAAAAGTTTAAAAGAAAATCTTTGTGTAAATATCTCATGTTACAACATGGACACCCGCGGTTTATAGACAAGCGTGGCCTATATATGTACAAATTATTATTATTATTTGAATTTAGTGTGCGCGACTTATATTCAGGTGCGCTCAATAGTCTGGAAAATATGGTCATCTTCGACCACATGGAGAACAAGTAGGCAACATACCATAATACTAATTTTATAGGAACCGGCGTATTAAAACATTTGTAAAGGGACATTTTGGCCATAATTCTTTACAATTAACTATAGAAAACAACCGTAAAATAAAATAAGTACCGGTAATCAGTTGTAGATATTTGTCTAGTGATTACTTTTTTTAAGCTTTATTCAAATCCATCCAGTGGTTCATGAGATATTTTGCTAACAGACAAACACATAGGTAAAAACATTATTGTCCGCTTTCACCTTTCACGTCGAGTGATAATAAGAGTAAAAAAGGAATTAACGCTGATTGATGAAATAAAAGATAGTATTCAAATAGCAACACAGCTTCCACTCTATTTTCTCTAGCTTGCAAAGTGAATATTTGATGTTTATTTAGCAATATTATAGAACTTTTAAAAAAACCTAGCATGGCAGGGACTTGCAGAGCCTTTACCACGGTTAGATGCTACGTCTAATAAATTTTAGGTCAAATCTCTGCGCTCATCATGCCTACCTGTCGTCTTGGCAGCTGTGGAAGGGGTCCTGCACCTCGTAGATGTCTGACTCCCCCTCCTCGGGGTCATGGGGCCACCCCAGCCTGGCTCCGTGAAACGGCAGGTTCATGTACTCCGGGATTTCCTCATACAATGGCACGTTCTCATACTCCACCAAGCCCTCGATGCCTTCCTCGCAAATATCAGTGTCCTCGATGCAGCTAGTGGGCCGCTGCAGGCTCGTCCCCCCCCCGTTCGTCTCCAGGCTGGTGCAGTCCAGGGACTGCCCACCCTTGGCCAGCAGCTTTGGCAGCATCTTCATTGACAGCCGGAGCTCCAGCAGCTTGCGGAAAGAAAGACTCCTCTTTTGAGAGTGGGCCCGGGTTGCCAGGTCAGCAGCAGAGAAAGACTGCGCCCTCTGCTTGCCCCCCAGGGAAGGGACTCGGCCTTTTGGCGGCACGCTGCTCCTGGTGGGCATCTGCCGGCTGAAAAACGTCACGCAGGGTCGTGTGAAGCGCCACGCGGTTTTCTCCTGAGGAGGTGCGGGCAGCTCCCTCATGGGGGTGCTGGCATGTGGGGGCGCAGGGGGCCCGATGGGGGGTGGAGGCGGTGCTGGCAAGCTGTGCCTTTGAGGTTTCCTCGGTGGTGTCCTCGGCGAGTCCTCCGAGGAAGCTCTCCTGCTGTTAGCCAGAGGGGGGTGGCAGCCCAGCTGGATCTGCTTGGGGAGGCTGTGAGTGATCGGGTACCTCTCGAAGTCGCCGTACGTGTCCTCCTCGTCCTCCTCCACCTCCCGCTTCTCAAACGCCGTACTCTCCGGGTCAGGCTGCGAGAGCAGGTCCAACGAGTGGGAGGTGTTTTTGTTCAGGGAGGGGTAGAGAGTTCTGTGCAGACGGGGTGAGAGGGAGGTTTGTCGGGGAGGCGGCACGGGCACATCAGCCTCTCCTGAATCCGAAGCCTCCAGTTTGAGCTCCGTGCTCCCCCATCCTATAGAAACAGCTGGACTCTGCTGTCCGTCCACTTCCTGCATCTCATGCTCTTGTTTTTGTTCCTCCACCTGATCCTGGACACTCCCCTCCACCCCGTCCTGCCTCACCAGGGCTGGCTTCTTCAGTTTACGTGGGTGGGGGACTGGCAGAGGCTTACTGGGAGCAGCAGGAACTTGTAGAACACACTGAGGCTGGGTCGGAGATGATTGGCTAGTTTCTACCTGACGGTGCTCGGGGGAAGACTCAGGTAGAGCGACGCTTGTCACGCTGATGTTGCCTGCAACATCACAGGTTGCTGTAGAGTCTAAGTCCGTCAGCACATCTGCTTTTGAAACTTCAGACTCTCCAACATTTTCCTCAAGTTTTCCAGTCTCCAAACCTTCCCCCCTTTGCTCCTCAGTCCTTTGTTTCTTTTTGTTAACCAACCCCCTGTCTAAATGTCTTTGTCTTTGAGGTTTATCCCTCGGCTTTTTGCTAATCTGTTCAACCTTATCAACAGCTGGCAGCCCCTTCTGGTTTTCTCTGCTCTCTTGTGGCTTTCTGTCCACGTATCCGTCCACAGAAAGCCCATTCTGCAGCGGCACTTGGTGGAAATCAGCTCCAGTTTCAGTTGCGTCTCCATTTTCCTGAGGGTGACACTGGCAGCAGTCCTCAAACTCCCCACATGGGCATGTGGGAATGATGTAATCCAGTTCACCTCTGCTAGCCTCCGATAGAATCCCATTCTTGGAGTTCAGATGCAACAGGTTATAATCTGGAGTTTCTTGCTCCTGAGAAGGACTAAATGGTTCGGTGGGTTTGGGTAGTGGGAGTGAAACAGCCAGAGAGGAGGCTGAGGATTTGAGTAGGCAGGGTTTGGGAGCGACAACTGGTTTGGGCCTCTTGAGAGTGGACGGGGAGGTTGGGGAGACCACTGACGACTGGGAAAGAGAGCTGGGTTTGGGAGCGATGGGTGGTTTGGTTGTGACAGGGAGTTTAGGTTTGGGAGCTAACGGAGGCTTCTTTACACCTGTTCATAAAATATAAACAAAAACAATTAAACCCTAGAATTACTTGAAAAAGGCATATCACCCCAACTAGTTTCAAATTAGGATTATTTTATGTAGAGCAGAGACAGAATTGAGGACAATTCTGAAAATAACGTTAAATGTCACCACGACATGTCACGCTCAAGGTATGTTTTGCGAATGACTCTCAGTGACTGCCACACTTGTTCTTAATGTATATTAGTTGTGGCAGCCATCTTTAATTAGATAATCAGTTGTAGATGAACATCCGGTGTTTAATTTTTGCCCAAGCACATGCAGGGACGGGAAAAAGCGTTATCGTCCGCGTTTGAAAGTTAGCGGTGGGTGAAAATGTCAGAAAACTAAATTAATCGTAGTTGAAGAGCACACAAAAACATGCCTCACCAGAGCTCAGATGTAAGAAGACAGCTGCAAGCTGGAGTTTAGCCTGAGGTCAGAGGTCAACTTTTAGGGTGAGAGGCGAAGAACTGAGGGCTCAAGACATGAAGAATATTTTGAATGGAATTAAGCTACCAGTTTGCAAAAAAATATACAACGCAAATAGATGTTTTATGCTCTTTTGAAGACAGTTTGCTATTTTATTACACAGTCTTTAACTAATAACACAATGTTTTATAGCAAATATAATGTAAATTTGAAGAACTCAAGTCAGGTCCACATTCAAACATTTCCCCTGTGCTGTTTCTGAAAGAGCCTGGCATGTTTGGTATGTCTGCTGCAATATTCTTTTTCAGAAACAGCAGCAGGAAAAAATGTTGTGTAGAGATAACTGATAAGTTGTTCCCCTGTATTTTCTCCTCGTGGTTGAATCCGTTGTCAGTCAGCCTGACAGTTTGTATTTATGCATTCCTGGGGGGGGGGGGGGGGGAGGGGGGGGGGAAAGATACAGTATGTTCAGGGGGGGGGTC